AAAAAGCGTTAAAATCAGATGAACTACAAGAGAAACTAAGCACATTCCTTGAAAATGATTTCTCTTCTGACAGAGAGGGCATAAACAAATGTGTCAATGAATTTGAAAACATTATTAACCTTGCATCCAAAAAATCTCTTAAAAATCAAAAAGAAGAAATATAGACGAAAAATTAATAATGTTGCAAACAAAAAATGGTTTGATAAAGATTGTAGATTTAAAAGACACCAGCTTAGAAAACTTGCAAAACATAGAGATCCAAACAACACTGAAATTAGAAGTGCATACCATACTGCTTTGAAAGACTATAAAAGCACTTTAGAAATAAAAAAGAAAAATTTCCATTTCGATAAAATCCAAGAAATTGAAAATGCTAGCAACGATCCACTGCTATTTTGGAAAACATTAAAAAATATCAGTGACGATCTTGATTTTAATGAAACTAAGAAAAGCCCACAACCAAGTGAATGGCTGAATCACTTTGAAACACTTCATTCAGAACATCAATTAAACAAGGAACAAAACGAAATCGTTGAATGCCTGAAAAACTATGAAAAAATCAAAGACAACTTAACCGAACTTGATTACATCATCACAGAAGATGAACTACTAAAAGCAGCTAAAAAGTTAAAATCTAAAAAGGCTGTCTATAACGACAAAATCAGAAACGAAATGATTAAATCTAGTATTGGAATTCTCTCTAAAGCTTTTCTAAAAATTTTTAACAACATCTTAACATCGGGGAAGTTTCCTGAATCATGGACCGAAGGCTTAATAACCCCGATCCATAAATCAGGAAACTCCCTCGATCCAAACAACTACCGAGGTATTTGTGTCTCAAGCTGCATGGGCAAATTATTTTGCTCAATTTTGAATAATAGATTGATGAATTTCGCAAACGAAAAGCAATTAATTCACCCAACTCAAATTGGATTCATGCCTGGAAATAGAACGGCTGACCATATTCTTACGCTGAAAACTCTGCATGATAAATATGTCAAACAGAGAGAAAAAGAAAAAATCTATGCATGTTTTGTTGACTTTAGAAAAGCTTTTGATTCTGTTTGGCAACAAGGCTTATTTTACCAACTTATCAAAAACAACATAGGGGGACACTTCTACGATTTAATTCAAGACCTCTACTCAAACACGAAATGTGCAATAAAACTATCTGAAAACAGAACACCGTTTTTTCCTTACAAAAAGGGAGTCCGTCAAGGATGCATTTTAAGCCCTTTATTATTTAATATTTACATAAACGATCTTCCAAAAATGTTTCAACAAACACAATCAGATCCATTTCTATTACCAAATGGAACTACTATCAACAGCCTACTCTATGCGGATGATCTCATTATACTTTCACGATCAAAATCAGGTTTACAAAACTGTCTAAACCAAATAAATGAATGGTGTAGTAAATGGCTAATGGAAGTCAATATCAAGAAAACAAAAATTATGATTTTTCAAAAACACAACTCGAAATTACCAAACCTTCATTTCCACATTGGAGATAAAAAGATAGATATAATCAAAGAGTATACCTATCTTGGTCTCAAACTAGTACCAAATGGGAAATTTAAACTCGCACAACAACAACTAAGCGAAAAAGCCTTGCATGCTCTTTATAAAATTCGTAAAAATCTAGATTTTCATAAACTTTCACCAAAAACAGCAACAAAAATTTTCGACTCAATAATTTCCCCAATTCTACTATATAACTCAGAAGTCTGGGGAGCATACGAAAAAAATGATCTGAATAAATGGGATAATTCAGAAACTGAAAAAATTCATTTAAGATTCTGCAAGCTATACCTAGGTGTTAACAGAAGAGCCAGTAACGTGGCTTGCAGAAGTGAACTTGGGAAATACCCACTGCTGATTACAATAAAAAAGAATATACTAAACTATTTTAAACATATTTTTAAACTAGACGACAACTCAATAGTTAAACAATCCTTCCTAATGTCTAAACAACTATTTGAAAAAGGCAAAGAATCTTTCTACACCAACGCAATAAACATGCTTAATTAAATCACTCTATGATAATACAACAAACTTGGAAAGTGATATAATCAACTACGATACAAAAACTATTGTAAATAAGATGAAAGATAAATATTTTGAATTTTGGCAACATAAAATGATTAACTCCTCCAAACTATCTTTCTTTTGTACATTTAAAAACCAGTACAAAATGGAAGAATATTTATCCCTTATTGATAACCCAACGATAAGAAGAACATTTTCTCAATATAGAGTAAGTAATCATAAATTGCAAATTGAGTGAGGAAGATACGAAAACGTTTCTCGCGAACAACGTTTCTGCAAACTTTGCAACAACGGTGAAGTGGAAAACGAATATCACTTAGCCTTATCTTGCCCGAAATACGAAGAATTAAGAAATAATTCTAACAACATTCTCAAAAATCTATTTTATCTTAATAACACAATGGAAGGAAAACAAAAAGTGTTTGAGCATGCGATGTCTTCAGACGATCCAGTTCTTGTTAACCTGCTCTCTAAGTATATCTTTCACTGTTTTTCGGAGAGAGATAAAAGCCTCAAATCCATGGAAGATTAGGGACAACAATTAGACTAAAAATTGCTTAGATAAATAATAAAACAAAATAAACAAAAAAAAACCCAACATTATATCTTTAAATTATATACTAGCTGCTTTTCTATTTGTAAATAGCTTCTTCCTATATATTTTTATAGTTATAGCTTAGACATTACTGACATTTTATATATATATAATCTACGCTTAGCAATACCTGTAATTAGGTCATGCAAATAAAGCTTTATAATAATAATAATAATAAAACCGTCTCTCCTTCAAGTGGGAGAAGGAGATCTTTCCATGTGATGACTTCTTTGCTGAAGCTAAAATTCTTGCAAGAGAATCACCTCTGCCTTGTCGGCACCAATCCAAGTGTACTTGTCATTCACAGGATTGTCAAACAATCGGTCATCAAAGATGCACTTCAAGGGCTTCAACATAAACATTTTGGCGCAGTTAGTTTGGCCATAGATCATCAGATTTCTGAATTTCCCCCGACCTCAAGCTAGAAGCTCAAATATGTACGAGGTAAAAACAGTTAATTCTATACCATTCAGCGAAAGCACTTCTATGGCACACTCAAGCCAACTACCATTGCACCCATCAACGCAGGCATTTTGCGCTCCATTTCTAACTTTTTCGATTCTTGTGATTTCGTTTCGCTGTATTTCTGACGACGCCTGCTTCAGCAACCACGACTTGCTCATCAGCTCGGCAATGGTTTTCTGCATTCGGGAGAACAAGAAATTAGCGAGATCGCTTTCACCCTCCTGCTTTCTAGCATCAGCCTTAGCAAATAGCTGTTGCACAGTGGTGATGTTGTTAGCAACAATGAAATCACCCACTTCAAGATTACTAAGGCGCCGCCTTTTCTGATTTCCTCTTTCACGACTGGCTGTCGCCTCCGTGTTTGTATTGGTCGACCTTCTTTTTCAGCACGCTTCTCGAAGAGCTACAGTTGAAGCTTTAGTGCGTGGAGATCCCACTTCGGAAAGGTCAGGATGATTGTCACTATGAGCAACGTCCTTGTCAGTTTTACAGACATAACGGTACGCATATATGTACTGATTATGGTCTGAGAAGTTAACCACTATGTCATATTTCTTTGTGATTGCATTCTTAATTGACAACCACTTTTTTACCCCTGTCAGCTTCAAACAGCAATGATAATGAAAGCCATTTTCTTCATGTGGCTCCTTACAGCAGGCCCAATGTGACACCTTGACTTGGCTAGTCCCTGCGTTGAACTTGTTTTCCAGCATTTTACCAAAACTCTCTCTTGTGGGGAACTTACATATATCGGCTTGTGAGTAGGTAATAAGATACTGACGCCTCCCTGAACGTGGGTTTTGTAAATTTGTTTCAGACATTGTAAATATACTTCAGAAGAAACTATTCAAAGCAAACAATGTAAGATCTCTGATGGATCCGAAATAGCCCTGATCGTAAACTTCATGTAAAGCATGATAAAGTAGCAGAATAAATAATTGCATAAATTAAAAACAACAACAAACCTGCAGGAAATCAGAAGCATTGCAAATGTAAATCATTCTTATTTTGTTTGAACTTTCTACGTAACAATTCTTTGTGCCGTTGATAAAGTCGAGTTTTCTGTTTGGTAAGTACGACGTTCATTTTGTTTGAACAAATTTATCAATTATCGTCTTTAAAGATGCTATAAAGTCCATATAAATGTGAACAAACGCTTTGTTTACATATTTTTGAACTGCTATATTTGTAAGACATGTTAATATACTAACTGAATATCTAACACTTTTGTAAATTATATAAACTCCACGTTTCAATTCGAAAATTTAGAAAGATGCAAAAATTCTGGCAATGTACATGTTTATATCTGCGGGTCCCGTTTGTTATGAGCACAACTGATGCACAGAACGGACTTTACAGCATCTTTAAATTAATATTTCAAAGTTATTGATTTGGGATTTATCTTAGACCTTTCTGTTTTTATTCAAATTGCAAAAATGATAAGCTTCTGCATGAAGGACGTACAATTTGTTTCTTGCCATGATAAAAAAACTCCAAGAATAATCAATATAAACAGCATTAGAGCACAGTAGCCGCCACCCCCGCCTCCCTTCCCGCCCCCCCCTCCCGCTTAACACCAGTTTCTTACAAACCCAAACTGTTTGTTTTTCTTACGTTACTTGTATACTAAGCTAAATGCACAAAAGAACATAATGTCAAAAAAAATGGAAGACCGAGTACCCTTTCCCAATTTCTCTTAAATTTCAGACAATCCTTCACAAAAATTATGAGACTACCCATGTGAAAGCATAATTTCCTCTCCCCTCCCCCCTACAGAGCAATGTTGCTCGTGATTGAGTTGAAATTGTGTAGCACAATGCTTGCAACAACAGTCAACATTGTTTTGAAGGGGGAGGGAGGGGGGTGGGGGAAGGACGAGCTCCTAAGGGTAAGAATTTGCTAATTTTACAGATAAATATGCAAGTCTCAATAATTTTTGTGAAGGATTGTCTTAATAAATCATAAAACTTTGTGTTTTAAACAATTTCAGATTCTTTATAAATGAGTTGTATATATGGGAATAATGCGTTGCATGGTTCACATAATAAGTTTCACACGTCATTGAAACGTTTGACGCACAGAGTAGGGCGTGGCTTCTTGGGCGTAACCCATACTATTATAGATGATGTCACCCACGAAATTCTTGTGTCTCGCGAAAATGTGAACTGATCACACTCGCTGCTAACCTTAATTTGTTAATTAGTTAATGTTAGTCGTTTATCAATGTATCTGGGTGGTAGTCAGAGTAGGTGGGGAGGTGGGGGGGGGGGTGAAAAAAAGGGAAGGAGAAAGGCAAATAGGTGATTGATTCTCCTCACCGTTCCTTATATGCATATTATGTGTATATTTCTGATAATATAATAGTAGACACTTGATATATAAAACAAACAAATCATGCACGAAAGCAACCTATTCGCAGTTTTGTCCAAGGGTTAAAGCGACCTTGTTGAACTATTCGCCAGACTATTATTAATAGGACAATTGAGTCCATGGACAAACACATTGACATGGTGATCAAGTCAAAAGGACAACGCATTAAATATTACATTTTGTGGCAATTTAAGTGTGTAATGTCCTTTAAATGCCATTATCATCAGTATTTAAGCCAAGTTAAATAGGTTTAAATTATATTAAACTTATGTTGTTATCTCCATTGCATTATAAACTATAAGTATAATGTTTGATAACGAACGAGTTACCAACGAGTTACCCACGAGTTACCCTAAAAATCAATATACTTTTCACTATAATAGAACGAGTTACCACGAGTTACCACTTAAAAATTTTAAAAATAAATAATTATTTTTTTCTAATTTTTTTAGTGGTAACTCGTGGTAACTCGTTATATTATAGTAAAAACTATATTGATTTTTAGGGTAACTCGTGGGTAACTCGTTGGTAACTCGTTGGTAACTCGTTGGTAACTCGTGCAAAGCACATTCATATTTATATATACTCGAATTCGGAAGAAACTATTCAAAGCAAACAATGTAAGATCTCTGACGGATCTGAAATAGCCCTGACCGTAAACTTCATGTAAAGCATGTTAAAGTAGTGCTCAGCATATATAAATCAAAAACAACAACAAAGCCTGCAGGAAATCGGAAGCGTTGCAAATGTAAATCATTCTTATTTGGTTTGAATTCTTTGTGCCATTGATAAAGTTGAGTTTTCTGTTTCGTAAGTACGACGTTCATTTTGTTTGAACAAATTTATCAATTATCGTCTTTTAAGATGCTGTAAAGTCTGTATAACAAACGCTTTGTTTACATATTTTTGAACTGCTATATTTGTAAGACATGTTAATATACTAACTGAATATCTAACACTTTTCTGGTTCGCTATGCTTGTAAATTATATAAACTCCACGTTTCAGTTCGAAAATTTAGAAAGATGCAAAATTTTGGCAATGTTTATATCTGCGGGTCCCCTTTGTTATGAGTAGAACTGATGCACAGTACGGACTTTACAGCATCTTTAAATTAATATAATAATTCAAAGTTATTGATTTGGGATATATCTTGAACCTTTCTGTTTTTATTCAAATTGCAAAAATGATAAGCTTCTGCATGAAGGACGTACAATTTGTTTCTTGCCATGATAAAAAAACTCCAAAATAATCAATATAAACAGCATTAGAGCACAGTAGCCGCCCCCCCCGCCTCCCTTCCCGCCCCCCCCTCCCGCTTAACACCAGTTTCTTACAAACCCAAACTGTTTGTTTTTCTTACGTTACTTGTATACTAAGCTAAATGCACAAAAGAACATAATGTCAAAAAAAATGGAAGACCGAGTACCCTTTCCCAATTTCTCTTAAATTTCAGACAATCCTTCACAAAAATTATGAGACTACCCATGTGAAAGCATAATTTCCTCTCCCCTCCCCCCTACAGAGCAATGTTGCTCGTGATTGAGTTGAAAT